TTTCTTGTGCTACAAGGACATGATAGTCATAAATCATTTGCACAGGTACTAGTTTCGAACTATACCGGATAGACCTATGAGAATACTTTAAGAGATATCAAATCGTCATAAGTATATTTCTCATTATTGCTATTGGAACCTTTTTCCTCGACCATGAGTATTGTAAGTTCTCTTGTTTGACTACTAGTCGTTTTGATGTTGTCAAACGTCTGCCGTAAATCAGGATTATAACAGCAGCACTCAGGCGATTAGGTCCTCTTAGTAAGGGAAGCTTACAGTACAAGACTGGGAATGTCCCCCTATTAACAATAGGGAATATGTCTTTGTTGTTTACAAGGCCTCTCGATGAGCGAGACTGTGAAAATGTATGCCCGTGCTCAGATGGATTTTAGAAATCATCTGATTATTGACAGTCAAACTCGGGAATCGAGAAACACTTCTGGACGTAATAAGGATGACGAAGAATCTTACCTTATAGTTCATGAAAAGACATAAAGCGACATAGGAAAAGGGCTATACACAATTTGCACACTTGTCTGGAAGGACAAGACCCATCGCAATGCTAGTCGCAAGCCTAGCATGATAGGCGTGCTAGGCCCATGCATGCTAGCTAACCACCGTAAGCATCGCAACCTTGCGTGTGTGCTAGCACGTCATGCGCCCAAGCATCGCAAGGCTAGGCCTTGAGTATGCTTGGCGCTGGCGTAAGGCATGGCCTAGCACTGCTCGTCGCACCATCGGAGCCACGCACCATTGTATAGCAGCATGCTAGGCGTGGTGCGCTATGCATGATGCTAGGCAACGGCACGCACCAGCCCTAGGCATGCTGCGCAGCATGCGTGCTAGGCATCGCATGGCAGCAGCCCTATGCCTCGCACATCGCAAGCACCAAGCATCAGCCAGCAGCGTGCTGGGATGTGCGTGTGGTGCGTATGCCTCGCATAACAGTGCCCAGCAAGCTCGCAATGCCTCGCATAGCAGCAGCGCCCAGCATGCGTGGCTCGCTAGCAGCATGCATGCTCTGGCTGGCTGCGCATGCGGGCTGGCTGTGCATGTGGGGTGCTAGTTGTGCTGGCTGGCTGCCCAGCCTTGGTGCTAGGCGCCAGCTGGCAGCCTTGGCAGGCTGCCAGCCAACCACATGGAGGGGAGTGCCGGCTTGCTAGTGGGGACCAAAGGGTGTGAGCCTTGCCTTGGGCACCAAGGCTATGGTCCCCCCCTTGGAAATGGTCCTCACCTAATCTCTCATCCTACTTGTGCCACTTTTAACTTATTGATTGCTTTGCAATTTTATTTTTGTATTAATTAAAATAAAATGGGAAAATTGCAGACCTCCCACATTGATTGAGTGTGGGAATTCAAGGTTCATTTCCCTATTAATACCAAGGTTTTGGGATTTGGGAAGAACACTTGAGTGGAACTAAAAAGGCATCTCCTTAGAAAAAGTGAGAAAACCTTAAATTCGTACAACTCTAGTTTTTATTGGTCGGGTCCCAACTAACCTTCGGGACTTGGATCGTTCGTGTCGGGTTCGTGGGTACGAGCCGTCGGAGACCTTCGCATTTGCGGGGTTCAAGTAAGAGCTCGGGATTCGAGCGAAGCACGCGCCAAGGGTAAGAATGTCTTTTCTTCTCTCTCTTAATTGTTGTTTAATTAGTGATTGTATGCTTAGTCGCTTTAATTAGTGTGCGGGTCTTGGGTGGGTTTCCCTTCCGCGTAGAGTCGGACTCTACAAAAATCAACAAAATAAAGATGCATTTGGCAGCTAGCATGACCCCTTGAAACTTGAGTCTTCAAATCTTCAAGGGCCTTCGTTGCATCTTCTTGGCTTCGTCTTTTTAGAAACGCCGTCTTCGAGACATCACCACCAATTATGCAACTACTAGAATAAGCTAGGACTAGTCTAAATAATTTAAGTACAAAAATACTTAACGGCATGCAGTCCGTATTTAGATTTACAAAAATACAAAACGGAACGCAGTCCGTATTTACTATCCTAATCGGGTCCCACTAGTTGCCGTTTTGTAAAATCTGCATTAGAATATCTATTCCATTAATCCATTCACTAACGTGAATGGCCCATGCATTTTACAAATAATTCAAGCAACAATTCAAAACGAGCGCAAAACTAGTTACTAACTTAGGTGGTTAATCCAATTAACGTGCCTAATAAAAACTAGTCAAAGTTGTTATCCAATTATGTGAATTAATGCAATAATAAAAGCTCAAACGATTAAAGAAGCTCCTACTAAATTCCACATCCCACTTAATTAAAATTAATCCAATTAAAATTAAATAAGCCGGTTAACTAAAATTTTGTCAAATAATATTTTGTAAGTGTCGGGAAAAACCGAGGCCTAGCCTCGTTTTAATTAAAAAAACAAAAAACCGCAAAATTAATAGATCCTTACAGCCGAGTGCCTAGCATCCAAGCCAAAAGGCTCGTCTTGCTAGGCACCAAGCCCCGGCTCCCATGCGTGGGTGCTGCCCCGCACAGCCACAGATGCGCCAAGCCACTTGCTAGAGGCTGACAGCATCGCTCGCGCGTTATGCTGGTCCTAGAAACGTGCTTGCAACGCACGCTAGTGTTGGCCGCGCAGGCCATGCGGCTTTGCGGGTTGGTGCTGCCTAGTAGCCACACGTCGCACCACACGCAAGCAAGCCATGCCGCACCAAGCTGGTGCTGCTCGCACACACCAATGCAGCTTAGTTGGGGCTAGATCACACCCTCGCTACTGAACCATAAGCGGTCCCTACCCCGAAGCTTAGTTAGGGCTAGATCAAAAATAACTTAGAGTTTACGAACAAAGGTTTTCTCGCTTTTGGAGATCCATTAAGTTACACCAACTTAAGTGCCTTTTCTAAATGCCAAATAATTGGTATTTATAAGGAATAGTGCCCAAGAGTTCCCATCATCTTTCAATGTGGGATAGTTGGTAAATAGAATTTAATTTAACTATAAAATAAATTAAAAGCCATGATGAAACAATAATCAAATGACAAGTGTCATAACACACAGAGGGACCTTGCGACGGATTTTCACCGAAAGTCAACAAAAGCGCCGACAGAACAAAATCCGTCGGAATAGACCTTTCTGACGAAATTTCCGACGGAATATCGCAAAATTCCTACAAAATGTCTTTCGACAATGCGTTCTGATGGAATTCCGTCGAAAATGGGCATTTCCGACGGATTTTTTCCGTCGTTGATTGACTGTTTTCTTGTAGTGTGAAACAATAATCAAATGACAAGTGTCATCACACATAGAGGGAGTAGGTGGGAGGACCACCTTGGCCTTGGAGAACAAGGCAAGGGGTTGTCCCCACCTTCCTCGGTCAGCTCGGGCAGCTGCCCGACCTTGGGCAGCAAGGCCAACCTTGCGCCACAAGACTAGGTCTGGTGTCCCATAGTCGCAAGCCCACGCCTAGTAGCAGCCAAGCCATGCACCTACCGCAAGCACGCACAGGCCCAACAGTAGTGGCGTGGCCATAGTAGTAGCACGCAAGCGCCAGCCTTGTTGCTGGCCTCTCTATGCTGGCGCACCAGTCTTCCTAGCAAGCCCGCACGCAACGGCCAGCCTAGCTGGGCCTTGCGATGGCTGTGGTGCTTGGTGCTTTGGTGCTTGCGGCCCTTAGCCACTTGACTTTGATCCGAGAAGTGGCTAGGGCTCGTGCTATCCTAGTAATTTTTGCACGATACGTCATTTGATTATTTTTCTTGTCTTCGTCGATTCCTAAATTCGACTCAACGTACGTCGCTCTAAGCTCAGAATCCGACGTATTAGTTTGTAAAATCTCTATCGACATATTTAATCCTTTGGATTAATTCGTCGCTTCGGTTCGGTTACACGATTGGGTGTGATCCGAAGGGTTTAGTCAAGATTAAGCTGTAACATTAATTTTTCATTAATATTACTAATCGAAAGCGGCCTTTAGCTAGGCATTCCGATCACTTGACCTCACTGAATAATTAGCTTTCTAATTAATTCCGAACCCTCTATTGGAATAATACACTTGATTGAAGGACACCATTCATTTCACCTCCTTAATGCCGGCTTTGCTTCCTCCTTCTTCTTAACACCGCCGTTGCTGCCTCCTCATTTTATTTTATCACCATCAATAAAGCATAAATTAAGGCTTTCAAGTTCAGTTTTGACCATGAAAACTCCAGATCTGGAGAATTTATGGTTAATTTGGCTGAAAACCCAAAATTAAATTGTTTAAAAAGGTAAATTTCCATATTTATTGTATTTTAAATAATTTTACAGGTTTTCGGTTGGGTGACTGATTTTTTCATGGTGCTTTTGGGTTTAGGTTTAGTAGTTTTGAGATTTTTTCGTGGGTGGCTGGGGTTTTTTTTTACGGGTGGTCTGGTGGTGTTGCTGGTATTTTTCTTGGTTTTTTTTGTGTATTTGAATGTTGAATTGAGTGAATTTATTTTTGGTTTAACTATAATCTATGGGTATATTTTCTATCTTCTTTGCAATCTTACTATTTGTTGAAATGCCTCTGTGAGAATTTTGATTTTTTTTTTAAATAAAATTGTAATTCAAAGGATATGAAACTGGCGATGAAGACGATGACAATAGTGGTGCTCCAAGTGTATCGACGAAGATAATGGCGAAACGTTGTTTAGTTCGAAGATAAGTTTCTCTCCTCCTATTGATCGTATGTTTTTCAATTAACTTTTATATTTACGCTTTAAATTTGTGTGCATATCTCATTTACTTTGTTTTTTTCTTTATTGAATGTGAATCTTTTGTTTTTTAGTGGAATTCTCAATTATAATCATTATGTATTTTAAATTTGTTTTGTCAGATCTACTTGATGTCATCACAAAACACAAAACTCCAAACCAAGGAGTAAGTCTCAAGCCTACACCGTGCTGTTTATAGCACAGGGGCATTTTAGGTATTTTACACTTTAGTGAGTGTATTCTAAAATTTAATACGTATCGAAATACACATATAAAAGGTGAATTTATTACCCGTTTGAATTCTATTTCTCCGTTTCATTTTCTTGCAGCTTTTCGTTTTCCCGCTTTCTGTAGAGGAAATCAATCCTCCATTGCAGTGGTATCTTCTTCTCCATATTCGTGGACGACAAAATTCGGCTTGTAAGGAGGAAGGCTTGGTAGTTCCAATGAAGGGAAAAGGTAAGTGTGAATTGGAATTTGGTAAATTAAGGTTTTTGCGAGAATGGAGTTGCGACAATGAAGTGTTAAATTTTAACTAAATTATTAAGTAAATGATGGATTGTGAATTGAGGGTTTTCAGTTGTGATTGAATCATGAATGGAATTGGTAATGAATTATTGTATAATATCGTGAAATTAGGGTTAGTATAAATTCAAATTTTAAAATAACGAAGTAAATGGGTAAGGATTGGTGAATATCGAAGTAAATTGGTTAAGGATTATTGAATTATGAATCATTATCGTGAAATTAGGGGTTTTATTGAAATGTTGGTATATTGAACTTGTAATTGGGGTATTGTTTCCCAGTATGTGTTCATTGTTGCTCTTTTTCAATTGTTTTTCTTTACTCTTCAAATTATGTAATTTTATTAATTAGATATGCAATTAAGAGGTAGAATGTGTGAAGTAGAAATTGCTGAATAGGTTGATATACTGGATTGCATGGGCTGAAATGCGAGGTATATTAATTTTCTGAGTTTGTTAAGTTTGTAAGTGATTAATTCAATGCATGAAGAAATGTGTGTATACAAGTGGTGTTTGTGTATACAAATGAAGTTTCTGAAGGTTTGTTGCGTTACTTGGAATAGGTGTATTGAGTTTGTGTAGTTGTATTTAGTTTATGATGCATTAGTTATATGTGTTGCTGAAGTTTACATTGTATTGAAATTAGTTATTTATTGCTGTTCAGGTAATGGGAAGGGAAGAAAGGTTATTGCTGGTAAAGTGTACCGTGGAATAACTGGTAAAGGTAAAGGTGTAAGTGGTGGTAAAGGTAAAGGTAATAGTGTGAGGGGTGATAAAGGGAAAGGTGGTCTGGGAGTAGGGGGTGCTAAAAGGAAAATAGTATATGAGCCAGAGTATTCATCGTGTTCATCAACTTCAGAATCATCATATGGATCAATGTCGGATGATGATTTTGAGTATTACCCTGAATCAAAAGGGGAAGTTGAATGCGAATACAGCGCTGTGTCTAGTGAAGAGGTTACTGATTGCTACAGTAGTGGTGAAGAGGTAATAAATGTTATTGGTATATGAGTGGTTGTGTAATGTAATATGGTTTAATATGTTTTTGTAATGTTTGGTATTGCAGGTGAGAAAGGCTGAACGCAAAGCGAAGGCCGGGAAACGGAAAGTTGTTCCGAAGGTTTTTGTGGTGAGTGGGTAGTTTGTATGAATGTTTGAATGGCATCCATAAATTGCATATGTGTTGGTTATTATGTTAAATTCTATGCTGATATCATTTTTTAGGCAATGAATGTGACCTGCCCTGTGGAGACTTTGGGTAGGATTTTAGGTAACTTTGAGGACAAGAAGCGTCTTGTTAGGGAAATGGGTTTTGGGGGCTTATTTTATCTTAAGGGCCTGCCACGACAATTGGCGTTTTGGTTGTGTACTAGAGTAGATGTGTCAAGAAGATGCTTGTTGTCTGTGGATGGACAAGTGTTTCCATTGGACCCAGTTCAGGTGCATTGGGTCTTGGGGATTCCATATGGTCCACGAGTTTTACCGACGAAGGTATAGTAGTGGACCCAGAGTTGGGGGATAGATTATGGAATACATATAGCACAACAATAGCATGCGAGACTAGAGGCATTACTAGGAAGACTTTGGTTGAATATTTGGAGGGTCCTTGTGTAGATGATAAGAAATTCAAGATGGTTTTTTTGATGTATATGTTGAATGTAATGTGTTCATCAACATGCCACCGTTTAAAGAAGCAATTTCTTCACGGTGTATCAGTGGCAGATAATGCAGCTCAGTATAATTGGTGTGAGTTTGTTCTGGCTAATGAAAGCATTAGGACAGTTTAGTAGAAGGTTTTATGGTGATAATTTTAATTTTAATGCTAGTAGTGGTGGATGTACTTTGTTTTTGGCGGTAAGTGTGAAATAAATTGCCTTGATTGTTAAGTAAATGTAACCAGATAGGAACTAATTACCTATGTATATGGTAACTACAGGTGTTTTATTTAGACCAACTTAATCAAGCTCCCCTTGAGTGGGGTGAGTTCCAAGAATCAAAGTTTGGTCGAGGAACGAGATGAACAAGGCAATATCTGTTAATCAGTTTGAAACTGGTGATTTTGGAGCCCGTGGAGTAAGTGTTTACAAAGGGGTAGTGTTTTCATTGGTTAGATACATAATGTTATTTTGTGTCCATTGATTAAAGGGAAATTTGTCAGAAACAACCTTTTAAAATGTCCACTTTATTTAAAACAACCTTTTACAAAAAAAATTTGTAACTTCAGACCACATTATAAATTTTTTTTTGTCAAAGACAACCTAATGCTACTTTCCGGCGTTGACTTTATCTTTTTCCGTTGTTGACCACAAGTGTGCAGGGACATGACCTCTTATATATATTGCTTAATACACCCCTTTTTCCTCCAATTAACTCTAATTAAAACCTCTACTTCTCTCTCATTCCTCTTTTTCGATCAATAGGAAAAAAATTCTAGGGTAAATTCCTCTAAAACTAAATAAAGTCAACACCGGAAAAAATAGGGAAAAGTAGCATTAGGTTGTCTTTGACAAAAAAAATTTATAATGTGGTTTGAAGTTACAAAAAAAATTTAAAAGGTAGTTTTAAATAAAGTGGACACTTTAAAAGGTTGTTTTTGACAAATTTTCCTTGATTAAATAAATAATATATTTCTTAAATGTAATGTGTGGTAATGTGTGGATGTGAAGTATGGGCGGGGGCACCCGTTAAAAGCTGAAGACATATTGCCTACTAGGAGGAAAAGATCAAACGATTGTGTTGATGTAAGTGCTTTGTTACGTACCTGTACATGCTTGAAATGCAGAATGTAATTAAAACTATTGAGTTTAATAATTTGGTGGTCATGTTAGGTGCTGAATGTGTTGAAGAGTGTATTGAACTAGGAAGGTGTATTGGAAGAAGAACCGGCAGACATAGATGAAGGTGAATTGGAGAGGATTACCTAAAATGTGAAGAGGAGAAGAATTGCTACTACGGATTGTCCATTTGGTAGGCAGAAAAACTTAGTAGAAGGTACTTAGTAGTGCTATAGGTTTGATTTATTTTGAAAAATGGCGTATTAGAATTGATTATTACAATTGTGACAACCTGCTTATTAAAATGGCTTTCAAATTTGTATGTGCAGGGAGTGTAGAGGATCATAAGGATGTGGACACGGCTGATGAGATGGATGTGGACGTGGCTGATGCAGGGTTAAGGTCAACGAGTTCCAACAGGCTGTTGATGAGGAGCTGAATCAGGACAGTGGTGTAAAGGAGATGAATTCTGATTCACTTGAAAAACAATTTCATCAGATTTAGAGTGAAGAGGTTAACTCAAATTCTGATATAGACGTTCATGCATTACTGTGGAGTGTCAATGAATCTGTAGATGCTCCAATGATTCGTAATGCATCTGTACCCAATCAACCATACACTGTAATTGATAATGGATTGGACCACCTTAGGTTTCTGGTGGTAAATATAGGGGATCAAAGTATAGGTTGGTAAAGTTATTTTTTCTGAGTCAAATGTTTTGATGGAATGATCTCTGCACATGTGAATATAGGGGATCTAGGGTACCTCATTTGAATGCAGTAGTACCTCAGGTGAATGCAGAGGTACCTGAGATAAATGTAGAGGAAATTCAGGATAATAGAGGAGTTGTTGTGAATGCAGAGGTACCTGAGATAAATGTAGAGGAAATTCAAGATAATAGAGGAGTTGTTGTTGATGAGAAGGGGGGGAGGAAAAAGGAGAGGGAGAAGGGTGATGGGCGGAGATTGGAGAAGGAGAGCAAAAGGAAGATGGAGAGTGTTTCGGGGTTTTCTGATGTCCTGCGGGAGAGTTACAATTCCGAGACTGGAACCGGACGCCTGTACCTGCAAAACAACGGAGACTCTTGGTGGTGGGAGCTCCGCCTCCAACGGTCAAGTTAGTACCTGATTAAGGAGTAATTAATGCGGAAATTAAAGTGATTGGGTCTCTCTAGGTGAGAGTGTTTAATGTGTGTAATCTGCGTTTTTAACGTGTTCAGCATGTAATCTCCCTTAATGAGGATTAAGGGAGGTATTTATAACCTCGGGAAACGTGCCAATCTAGGTTTAGGTTAACCTTGGGCTGATTGGGCTTCCCTCGGAAGTTGGGCCTAGGTGACCGGTTATCCCAGGTGTCATGGGAAGGACACGTGCCGTGTCGTAATTGGTCCAAGGTGGACGGATCATTGCTTGACACGTGGCAGGCTCCTATTGGCCCATGTGACGGACACATGGCGGAACCTGGTTGGTCCACTTGTCAGATGGTGATTGGTGGGAGCAAAATCCCCTAATCATTTGCCCCTCACAGGTGGCACGTGACTGGTCACGTGTTACCTGTGACAGGTGTCGCACTGTAATAGGCGACGGCCTGCTACAGGTGTCACTCGGCGAAAGGCTGAGAGATTCTCCCGCCCAAATTATGAATTTTGGAAGTGACCCTTCGCCTTCTCACTTTGCCTATATAAAGGAGTGTTGACTTCGGTCATTTTCACACTTGAGAACTTTGTGAGAGAACATTCGGACCCCTGAACTTGCTCTGACATTTTGGACCCTTTCTGCCTACCGCCTGCTCTGACAAGCCGACTGCACAGGATTTTCAGAACTCCATCAACGTCACTCGTTCAGGTAACCGTCAGTTCTCTTACTCTTAATTTTTCTCTTTACTTTATTCTTTTTTGAAATGGCACCACGGAAGCACACGACACGACCTAGGTTAGTGATCAGCCGGTCACCGGGGACGGCTGAATCTAGGACTAAGAGTGTCGCTTGCCCTTTTCTGGACCCATCTTTGCCCTTTATACAAAGTCCGACTGTATCTGTGTCTATGCAGAGCATGATGGCCAGGACAAAAAAAACTGTCAGGATCTCAAACTCAGACGGCTCCTCCCACAGGGTGCCGATTAGTGAAACATCTGACCAGGCGCCAGATGTGGAGGTGAAACAAAGCGGCTTGAAAGCCGACAGTTCTGAGGGAGGAGTCAAAGTGACCCCTTCCCATTTTACAGTTGACAATTCTTCATTCTCTCCTGCTCCTTTTAAGGGAGAGGAGGCGGGCCCCTCCGGGAGAGGGGAAGAGTCGTCCTCTTCGGACTCGTCAGAGGACGATTCCGAGTCTAGCACTTCTGGCCATGCTTCTTTGGACACAGAAGAGAAAAACAGTCGCCTGCAAGAGGCGAGGCTTTCTCACGCAGTTGAGAAGGGGGACGATTAGGCGGAGCCATCCGCCTCTCACCGAGAGCAAAATACCCCCTACTACTGCACGGTACCTCGGAGCCGGATCACAGCCATGCAAGAGAAAGTGGAGAGCTTTATCGCAAACCACACAATGGGCCCCAGCGTTTTAGTGTTTGTGCCGGATCCAGAAGACACAGTCGTCTGGCCGGCTGGTACCAGTTATGATAGCGCCTGTTTTGGCTGCTACGAGGCGACCATCAAGGCTTGGCTGCGCTTCCCACTACATCCGGCTGTTCAGCGAATCTTGGATGGGTATGAGTTGGGGTTATGGCAGTTAGCCCCGAACTCCTGGGTCAACGTACTCGGCTATGTGGCCGGGTGCGAACTATACGGAGTGGAGCCGAGCTTCGAGGCTTTCGCCCACATGAACTACCTCAGCCGGACCCCTAAGGCAGGCGGTACCGGCTGGTATCAATTGACGAGCCACGGGGGCTACCTCATGACGAGAGGTAAAGCAAACAAATGGAAGGACTGGCGGAGCACCTTCCTCATCATTGAGAGTTCACACACAGAGCTGAACAAGCGCTTCAACAGGTGGAACAGGAATCCGCCCCTTCTTGCAGGCGGCCGCAGCATGCCGCCTGTTTCCCCCGAGGCTAAGAAAGAGATCCTAGATAAAGGACTCTTCAAAGTAGAGGCGAAGGTGAACTCTACTTCAGGGGTACGAGAGCAAGTACCCCTGCACTGCGTCCCGAGCTTCAAATGGCTCTACGACGAGTACTTTTTGGCCGCCTGTGGCCTCAGCAGTCGGTGCTCAAGAGGTAGCCGGCCTGTCGAGTACTCTGTTGTTCCATGCATTTCTTGTTATGACTTTTATTAACTTTGCTATTTGTTTTTGCAGCGGACGCCATGAGCAAAATTACCGCCTCCAAGACTGCGGCGGCCATGTTGCGGGCCTCCATCATGCAACAGTCTTCAACCGACTCCCCCAACAAGGGGGCACCCTTGGTGGGCTTCGAACCTTTCACCCTCTTTTTGGAGTTGTGTTTATGCATATACTGACTCTTTTGTTCTTTTTTAGACGGGCGCTCCAAGAGCTTCTTCTTCCCAACAGCCGGACCCCAAGGCCCAGAGGACGACTGTTACGAGCTCTCCTGGTTCTGCCAGGAAACATGCGGCGGTTGAGAAACGGCCGACCACTTCTTCTAAAACTCCAGCTGGGCCACCTAGAAGTATGAAATTATCCTTGTAAATTTTAGACTTGCTCCCTTCTTTACTAGGTCTAATCCGTTTGTTTATGCTTGATGCAGCCGGCCCTCCTGACATGGTCGAGGTGGCCAAGTCTATGATCAACGCCGTTCCTCCAGCTGAAAGGGAGGCGGTCAGGGGTGTCGGCACCCTTGACCTAGACGGGATTGCAGGGGTCCTTGCTGAGGTATACTTAGCATATTTTTGAGTATTTGAATTCCAGGACGCCTGTTTTCTTTTTTGTTTGGAAACTGACGCCTGTTCCCCTTTTTACTTAGGCCCTGCTCCGAGTGAACGGCCTTCGCAAGCCGCTTGACCGGAAGAACAAAGAGGTAAAGGCTGCAAAAGCTATGGCCGCCTCTGACTGTGATAAGGCAATGTTTCAAATTGCCCAAAATGAAGTTCTGACCATTGATATTCTTTATTATCAGGCGCAGGCTACCGCCGCTATCCGGGCTCAGTTAGAGGCGGCCCAGAAGAGGAATAGCGAGCTGGAGGCGACCATCAACAGCCTCAAGGCCGAGCTGAGACCTCTTCGCCAAAAGATGTCCTCATACGAAACCTTGGAGAAATCCTTGGCGAGCGTAAAGGTACGCCTGGTGACCCAGGAGAAGAGTCTTACTCAGGAGCTCTCGGAAAAGGCCGAGCAAGAAAAGAAAGAGCTGGTCCGGGAGATGATGGAAGACTCTGCTCAAATCCAGCGCATGACTTGGGGCCGCCTCTTCCCCAATGTCGACTTTGCCTCATGGGAAAAAACGTACCGCCAGTGTTCTGATAGATATAATCAAGAGATCCTGGCGGCTGCTGAGGAAGAGGCGTTGGAGGACGCGTTGGAGGAGGAGGAGCAGCCGGTAGTGGCGCTTGTGCCGCTTGGGGGTAATGCATCAAAGAAGGATGCAGCTGAAGCCGAGTCCAGCAAGAAGAGTGCTGACCAGGCGGCAGCTGCTGATATTGAAGATCTGCCCCCTTCTTAAGCTTTATGTCTTCTTTCCACGGCCTGCGTGCCGTTTGTTTGTATTTACCCGGCCAGGGGGCCGGGGCTCTGATTATTTTGCCGGTCTTTAATGACCGGCTTCTTTTTAATGAATATTTTTGTTTTGCTTCAAATTTGTTTAAGTATTGAATATTCTGATATCCAATTGTACACTATACCGACTGTTTTACATGGCCGATAGTTGCACACAGG